TGCCCCTTGTCTGCCTCAATCAGTCTGGGAGCGGTATCAGGAGTGCCTTCCCTTCCTCTGCTCAGTGTGACCAGGGGGTACACCCCAACTCAGGTGGGACACTGTCCTTTCATTCTCCCCACCGGTGTGGTGTTGCTGTTGTCCAGCATGTCCATCCTCAGGTTTGGCATTTCAACTTACTTTTATAATTCCTATCTTCTTACTTTTATTATTCCTATAATTCCATCACCTCTCATAACAGGTCTTTCTTCCATTCTCAGGGCCCACATCATGAAGTCCAGGTGACATTTATGAGGTTCTAATTGCTGTTCTGCAGTTGTAATCTCTGCTTGTTTACTCTTGCTTTGCCAACCATCAGAGTTCTTTTCTGTGGCTCTTTTCTATGTAAAACTACTGGGCACCTCCCATAATCAGAGTCTTTCCAACCCCATCCTTCCTGTTAAACCTGTTCACAATTTTACTGAGTTCTTTTTCTCCCTCTTCCTTTATGTTCAGGTTAACACTGTCCTGGAACTCTTCTGCGTCACAGACAAAAATATAACCTCTGTAGTCTACAGGGTGGTTTGGAAACGTCTGCCAAAATTTCAGATGCGTGTACCCTTCGTGCCATCAGTTCCACTCCAATATCCTCACACATGTACCAGCACTATTCATAATAGCAAGTACTTAGAAACAACTTAAATATTTATCAGAAGAGACTGGTTAAATAAATTAGAACATAGGTAGACAGTGGAATAATAATATGCACACACAAGTATAAATGAGGAAGCCTTTTTCAATGAGGGCGGTGTATGTGTGTGCATATGTTTACAGATGCAGACCGATGGCCAAATAAGTGTGCTCATCTGTGCATAAAATCACTCTGGAAGGTTAAAAAACAAACAGTAACATTGGTTCCTGACTGTTGGCTGAGGAACGGACATGGACGCCCGGCAGGCGTCCCTACAGCCCCAGGCTTCCACAACTCCAGGCAGCAGGATGCTGGCTTGGGGTGAAATCAGAGCCAGACAGAACAGTCTGTGAGACTTTTTGCTATATACACCTGTTTGAACTTTTAATTTTTTTGAATTGTTAGAGAGTATTTTCTACGTTAATAAAAATAAGTAAATAAGACAACACAGGATAAAACCAAGAATAAAACTCTCCTCATCGGGCCAGCTCTTCTCTGAGAAAATACAACCCTCCCAGCCTGGTCACCCAGTTCAGACATCAGACATCGTCCCGTCCGAGGGCCTCCCCACAGGAAGGCAGAGGTGTAGCTGCACCACTGGGGCTGTCAGACCTTCCATTTTCTGCCAGGAAATCCTGAAGATACTTCCTGGCTCTTGTCACGCTCGTGCGTATCCCTGATCAACTGGGCTGACTTCACTTCGCAGCATGTGCTGGGCCTGGGCTCGCCCTCCACCAGCTGCTCAGGCACTCCTTGAAACACCCTCCGGACTGCACTAAGGGACCCCGGCAGGCGTCCCTACAGCCCCTGGCTTAGGGAAGCCAGCCTCCCTTCTCTAAGGAAAAATCCCTCTGAAGGTCATGACTTTGACATGCTGAACTACCCAGGGGTTTTCCTTTGCTTCTGGATCTTTCTTTCATGTTCCGCCCTCCTAACTCCGATTCTTCTTTCCAGGTCAGTCACTCTTCTGCAGTCCTGCTTTTCAGGAGTAAGGCTAATGGATCCAAACTGAGGTTCCCTGAAATGATCAGCCTGATTGCCAAAGGCTGATAAGGAAAAAGTAAAATAAATACAAGACAGCCAGTAAGCATGCACATCTCATCCAGGCCACTGATGGACTCCTGAGCCAGGCTGGCTGCCAGGATTCTCTCCGTCTGACCAGGAACCTGCCCCTCACAGTCCGCAGCCTTTACAGACAACCATCTGTAATCACTTCCACAACTCCGGGCAGCAGGACGCTGGCTTGGGGTGAAATCAGAGCCAGACAGAACAGTCTGCGATGCTCTTGTTAACGGCATCTTTTTTTTTCTTCATTGAAACATAGCATGCAATTTGAGGATAAAACCAGAGTTACATAGGAGAAGCTTATTACAGATCTGACTACCTCAAAAAAAAAAGTTTTTGCCTTTTCCAAACCACAAGCAATCAGGCCTTAGGCTAAACACTGGAAAAAACAGCACTGTGCAGAATGGAAAGCAGCATTCCTTTTACTCAGAAACTACAACCTCTGCTAACCTCAGCTAGCTAAATGTCTCATTCAAAATAAACATCTCCACGCACAAGACAATAATGTAGCTTAAGTAGCACTCTCTGTTTTTTAAGCCTCTGGGGACCCAAATAGTTACAGACAATGTGGAGGTCTGGGCATCCGAGCAAAGATTTTGTTCAATTACAAGAATGAAAAATGTGTTTCCGGTCATGTGGCTGCTCACGGATTGTCACAGGTTTGAACAGCCTAAAAAATTCCTCCAGGTGGAAATCTAATGTTTGCACTAGCAACTAGGAAGGGTAATTAATCTGATAGGACTGAGGCCAGCAGCTCCGATTCTATGTTGCCTCAGAAATGAAAAGCCTAATGGAAAACAAAAACTAAAACTCACACTGAAAAATTTTCAGAAAAGAAAGAAATAAAGCAAATGGTAAAACGACTGCTTTAGCTAGATGTGGCCTGGAAGTGGGAACTCTCCTTCCTTCCAGCTTCCCCACGAAGGAACTGAGGTGCCCAGCACGGTGCTGACTCTGTGTGCTTCCACACACAGACGCACTGACGCCCCCACTCGCACACACACGTGAGCGTGGGTACATGCTCCCTACGGGGGCTGGCTCAGAATCAGGCGTGTGACCCAACTGACCGAATAGGACACAATCGTGAGGCTTTTGCCAGAACATTTACGAAGAGTCTCCGTCAGCCAGGCTCCTAGGATCTAGAGCTGTTGGCGGCCACCTCTGTCCCCACATGGGAGAGCCTTTCTGAGAATAAGGCTGAAACAGAACCAAGTGATACTCTCTAGGCCTGATTTCTAATGACATTGTGAGGTCACCTGGACCAGTGCTGCTGGATTTTTAAACCCTGGACTCTTTAAGTTCTGTGACCTAATAACCCTTCCACTGTTGGAAAAAAAAATTATGCGGTTTCAAATGGAGTCCATCCCCTAAAGCCTTCTCAGAGTCTGCTGAATTCTTTCTTCAAAGCCCTAATGCATGATCACATGTTATCACGCATCTTGAAACACTGGTAAAATTATCTGTAACCCATAGGAAATGTAATAGTTTCTCTGTGAATACTTCACAAGTAGAATCCACCCAACTAATACTTCACACAGTAAAGTTTCAGTCTGTGGGATCTTTGCCTTGTACAGTAATGTATTTAAGTCCACATTCCCATGTCTAGCGTGCTTCACAACACGATCCGTGATTGATCGACAAAACCTGGCTACTACTGTGTGTCCAGCACTATACTACCGACTACACGTAGATTATCTCACTCCTTGCTCAGCACAACCCAGGAAACAGGAACAATGTGTTACTATCTCCATTTTACCGAAGAAGAAACATGGGTTTGGAGGTTAAATTACTTGCCTAAGATGACAAAGCTGCTGAGTAGCTAAGCTTGGATTACAGCCAGGACATCTGCCTCAGGAGCCCGCACCTTAATCACTAGGAGATGCTGTCCTCCGCTTCATGGAGATCTTCTTTTGGCAACTATTGTTCTTACTAAGGAGCATGTTCGCAAAAGCAATGCAAGGAACATGCCCTACATGTTAGAAGTGCCTCAATCACCAGTGTTTACCCAGTGAACACAGAAATATGATAGGTTTTGGTGCACAGTAATGTTTCAACTTCCATCTTTAGACTTTGGAGATGCCTACATGGGGAAAGGGGATGAAGAGAAACCCACTATTTATGAGATGCCAGATTCTATAATAGGGACTTACTTTTATGATTTTATGTGGACCTCACATTGTTATCTACACTGGAGTTAAAGAAACTGAAGTTGAGAAAGATCAAGTAGCTAACTTGTTGGTGTTCATAAAGCTATTAAGCAGTTAGGCCAGTAATTGAGCCAAGGTGTTTCTATACCTAAAGCCCATCTTCCTTCCACATCTCGCATTTCCAGGTAAGAATACAGGGACTTGTAGGTAGAGGCACACAGAAGATGGTTATCTAATGTTCAAACAGGCTGTTTTCTCTAAAATAAAGTTGCTCTGAGCCTGAAAGTCTCTAAATGTTTATTCAAAAAAAAAAAAAAGTCAGTCTAGCATGTTAGCCAATGGCATATTGAGCCTAGAAATTAAGATACAACAAAACAGGAAAACATTCTCTAAGAGAGGCCTGTGCATGGGCTCACCCCTATGATCCTGCAGGAGAAAAGAAATACTGCACATTATCTAAGGCAAGGGTGTCAAACTCATTTTCACCGGGGGCCACATCAGCCTTGTGGTTGCCTTCAAAGGGCCGAATGTAATTTTAGGACTGTGTAAATGCAACTACTCCTTAACTAGGGGCAAGGAGCTTGGTGCTGCCACTGGGTAGAAACAAGGTGCCAGGCCAGATACAACAAGGTAGGGGGCCAGATTTGGCCCAAGGGCCTTATGTTTGCCACACCTGCTATCTAAGGGCTCCCTCTGGGCTAGCAAAATGCACATCAGATTTTGTGTATATGGTGACGGGGCTTGTTAGCCAGCCGACTTCATCCCAGTACCTGGTCATTACCTGGGCTTTCACAGAAGACATCTGCGTCCCTTCACACCTTGTCTGATCCTCCCCTCACTACTGCATCCCTTTCCATCCCTGTCAGCAGCTGGAGGGAGGGCAAAGCCTTCGAGCCAAAATTGGGTGGTTTGGGCATCGCTGCAATTTGCAGCTGCAGCAAAATCTGATAACTGGGTATTAACAGATCATTGCATCTCTAGTGCATAGATGTTTCCGGCAGCTGGCAGAGGCTGGGCTCAGGATTGACCAGACAGTCTGAGTCTTCATTAGAACTCCTTCCTCTGGTCTGAGCTTAAGACACTATGGGTCCCCGTGGAATTTAGTGTATCTCACTCACCTCTGCTTTTCTCTGCTTCTCCTCCTGCTCTCTCTGCTCCTTCTCCATGCCAACCAGCTTGAGCTTCAGCTCAGACACTTCAGTCATCAGATCGAGCTTCTGAGTCTCAAGAGATGTGCGACTCATCAGCTCCTGCAAGCAAAAACAGATCTCAGAATCAGAAACCTCCATGGCAACAAGGACAACTCCAGCCCCAAAAGCACGTAGGCAATCTGTTGGCGGTGTGCTGGACAACACAGAGTCGGACTGCTGCCTGTAAGCCCCTGGCAGCAGGGGCTGTGGGCGACAGGCCTGGGACAGTAATCAGTCATTTGGGGACAGCACAGTGCCTGCCACTATTCACTGTGCTATGACAGACATGTGATCTACATTTTTTTCCAAAAAAACACCACATTTGCCCAGAGAAACCATTATTCATTATTTCCAAGTAGAAAAAAAAAATGAATGTGTTCTCTCAGAGTACTAAATTTCTTCATCTCCAATTTTAAGGCAAAGCAGCAGATCCTTCTCCCATTAAACAAATAAAAACCAAGATTCAGTAATATATTTTTCAAAACCAAAATTCCCTATCACCTCCTGAGCTCAGTCAGCCTCCAGCACAGCCCTTAACACATCTCCCTGTGAGAATTCACTGCAAGGAACTTAGCAGGGAGCTGGAACATAAAGTACAACAGTTCAGTGAGTATGTACTGAATAATTTTGCTGGAATCTTATTATGTGAGATGATCTTTCCTGGGCTGTACCCATGTTACAATTTGGCAACTATGGGATGTAAGGAAGACGACTTTCCTTATTGTGAGGGCTCCCACTGGGAGGTTACTACTAGTCCTGCCATCAGTAGAACATAGTAGACAACTTGCCACTAATACATATACCTAATAAGCGTAAATAAGGCGAAAAACAAAGGTGATAGGCAAAACACCTGCTTAGAACTACTAGGAATTATAAAAAAAAACCTCTACAAACAGGAGCATTTCCCGAAGTCCAGGGACAACCCATTTCTCTATGGGAAAAAACAATGTTCCATGTGGCCCAAAACCCCAGCATACAGGAGATGCTGAAGACACAGGCCCTGGCAAGGAAAACATAGCATGGCAGCTAGGAGAGCCGCAAGCTAAATAGGCCGACGGTAAAGACATACCACCCTGCCGCGGTCTGAGCACTCTGCAGCACCCCGCACAGTCCAACCCTGGCACGAGAATGGTGGTCTCAACACTGTTCTGACCCAGCAGCTATGATTTTACGTATTCTGAACTGTCCTCAGATCACAAACCAAATCACACAGGACAGATTTGAACTTGAAGTACATAACTGCCTGGCTAAAAGGCCCTGAGGACCTCAAAAAGCCAGGCTACAAATGGTCCATCTGCTAATCTGAGGGGATGAGTATTTAGAAGTTGAATCTGCAAAATAAGCTCGCCAGGCCCTGGGCTAAGAAGGCTGGCTCTTCCTGGGCCAGCCACACCTAAAGCGGGCCCACAGGGCAGACAGCAGCACAGCCACGCCAGAACTGGGGGAGACCTGGTGGTGAGGAGGCAGCCAGAGAAGCAGGTCCCACATCGCTGGGGTGGGGGGCACAAACTCACTGAGTATCTCCTCTGTGCCGACACTGTTGGGTACTTTACATACATCCCCTCCATAAACCCTCCCAGGGACTTAGCATTAAACACTATTTCCCCAACCTTACAGATGAGGAAACAAGACTAGAGACTGACCTATCTTGGCCAAGGACATGCCAATCAACAGCTGAGTTCGTTTTCAAACCAAGGTCTGTTGACTCCAAAACTTTTTTCTGCTTAATGTATCATTGTTTCCTAAACAGAAGGAGTCCAAGAATTTTACGGGAAATAAATACATGCTGAAAAAAAGGCAATCAACAAATATTCACTCAGCCCTGGAAATGCCCACTCAAACTGACAAGATGTTGTTACATACGTACCCTTTACTGGGTAGGGCCCTTTACTGTTCAGGCCATGCAGAACATAAAAGTCCCTGAAGAGGTCTTCTCTGGGTGAAGATGATGGCATCTTAGGGTCAAGTAACTTCAGATGTAATCCTCCCCCACACCACCTCACACTCACTCCTACCTCCTTCTCCCTCTTCCCCGCCTCCCTGTTGGCCTCCACCACCTCATAACCCTCTGTTTATCTCTCTGGCTTTTCATCAACCTGCTTATTCCAAACTTATTTGAGACAGTGTGCACAATAGATAATTAAAGTTAGAAAATACACCATAAAAACTAAAGCAGATAGGAAAAGAAGTTGAAGCCAGAGTTACAGTTGGTACTGAAGTCATACATTAAAGTTCGACACACAGCTGGAGACGGATTATAAAGTGCCTGTGAGCTTCCCAGCCACTGATGCAAAGGTGAAAAGGAGCAATTTTACAAATCAAGGTCCATGAGATAATAACATTGCTTTGGAGTGCTGAGAACAGAAAATATTCTTCCATGAGACTTCAATCATTTTTTTCAACAAATAAGTTTTTAAATATCTACCAGATCCCAAGGCCTGGGGGTATGACAGACACACAACCCCTGTTGAGTGCTTGACTGTCTTAAGGATATTCATGCACTTTGTCTGCTAACCAGCATTCAAGCCACTAGTTTGGTGGGGTTAAAAAAAGCCACAGAATGTATCTCTCCTGAAGGCTAAGATTCTAATCTGCTCCCATCATTGCCAAAATCCCACTAGCTGTTTTAACTGCAAGGCTGTCATTGGTCACACCAATGTTCCAGCTGACAGGAATGGTATTTTAATTGGTTGAACCAAAGTTCCAATAGCCATTCTGATTGGTCATGCCGGTGCTCCAGTGGGTCACACTAACATTCCAAGTGGACACTCTAGTTGGACACACCAAAATTTTCATTAGAAACCTGGGGCTGCTTCATTTCATGTACTCCACTGACAACAAAAGTTGCACTGACTCTCTCCCAGCTTACATCTGTTACCAGGACCTCTACCTTTCATTATCATCACCCGTTTTCGTCATCATTTATAAATACTGTCCCATGCCCTGAACTGAACACCAGCCTTCCGCCGGCTTTCCCCAGTCCAGCTCCACTCCCCACCTCCAGGCTCGGCGCAGCCTCCAGCCACTACTCCGCACTGCCACTTCTATCACATGTGTCTTCATAGCATTTGACTATCCTACACTCGGCTGGTCCTTCGTAAGCCAAAGTCCAGATGTCTGAACAATATGACACACCTCCCAGTCATCTCAAGTGAAGACCATGCTGCTTCGACAACCCAGCTTCCAGAACACCTTTCTCCCTGTTTCGAGACTACCTCCAGACCACTATTTGTCCCTAGTGATGGTCTCCATCTGCCCTCCTCCTCTAAGGCAGTGCATTCAATATCACATTCTCCCCAAATACCTAGAACCCAACGTGGTCGCCCATTTTCATTGAGGCTTTTGTCTTTTGATCAATAGTTTACCTGCTTTGGGCACTTCCCCTCTACTCAGCAGCTTCAACATCCTTGTTTGCCTCCTTTTTAACATCCATTCTGGCTTCACATTTCCTGACTTTCATACACTTTGTTTCAGCCTCTCAGCAGGATGGCAACAACCTGGCCCTCCTCTCTGTCCAGAATGTGTTTGCTCTGCTTCTAAAACCTTCTAACTCAGAAATTCTCTCCTGTGGCCACAATCCTCTGACCTTTCAACTGCCCCATTTACTCACTTGGATAATCTTTCATTTCTTCCTTGGTGGCTGCTAGTTACTTAATAACTCTCTATTTTCCTCGAGTATCAACTTCCTTTAAGCAATATCTGCCTCCTTATCCTCTCTATACCTTTGAGGTTAGTCATTTCAATTGTATCCTCTCAGCAGCAGAAAACTCCTCATCCAGCTCATCCTTGAGACCCCTAGACCTGAAATGCATTCGGTTTACCAGAGCCTGGGCCACGCCAAACCTCAAAGCCTTTTATCTATGTTTGCCTGAGAACTGCTGGTAAAAAGTCACTTAATGATGCCAACTGGTTTCCATACAAATTTTATTCTAATTACAGTTGATCTTCCAACACTGCCTGGCAAAATCTGTATTCATCTCTGGCTGGTCCCTTTCAGAGATCATTCCAAATCTTCCCCATTCTCCCCTGAACCCCACCCTATCCCCCTCTTCTCCTCAAATAACCTCTCAGAGTTACTGAAAAGATTTTTTAAATCACCTGATCATTCATTGAACTTACATCCTTTCTATTTCAAAGTTTCCCCAAATCGTCTTTCATTCGTATATCTTAAATTCATGTCTTAGAGAAGGCCAGCCCACACCTTCTTTCCAAGGTCAGTCTGAAAGACCTGCATGTAAGCAACTTCTAAGTCAGGCTCTTTCACCTACAGAACTGTTCCCTAGCCCAGGAAGTTTCCAGGTTGCACATAAAAGGCACATGCTAAAAAACACAGTGACTACAGGCAGAGTTTGCTTCTGAATGACCCCACCCGACCCACCTTCCTGCTGCTGACCACTTCTTGGTCTCTAGACTCTTCATGCCCTCCTCAAACAGCTCGATGAAATGCCAGGCTACTTCCCTGGTTAACCAGTGGCATTTGGCTTTGTTCTCTGAGCTCTGGTCCTGCTTCTCCTAGAGGGTAATTCAGAGTGATGCCTACTCATATGGTCCTAGGCTCTCCTTTACCTCTGTGCTGCCTTTGAGGGAGTTCCCAGAAAGTCTGTGCTGCTCTAGGGTAGGGCCATTAATCATCCACTCTGACAGGCATTTAATCTCTCCTTCCCCATCAGCTTATATTCTTCAGGCTAGAAACACGATCAAATTTCTGACATTTGAAAGAACCTTCCCTTGGGACCTGGCCTTCCTCTTGAGCACCCACCCGTGAGCTCTCACTAGGCAAGTGCATGCTCTGCGTGCCTGGTGTGTGTGAATGCTGTCTCTCTCCATCTCTTTCCTCTAGAAAGAATAATCCACCCCGGCTGCCTCTTCTTCCTCATCTTCCTGTCACTTCTCAGTAAGATGCCTGCATGTCTACAAGCTGGCTTCTGCCCTCACCAGGCAGGGCACAGAAACAGTCCAAACTTTCAGACGTAACTTGCACTTCTCAGACCCCAACGGACTTGCCCCTCATCCACTCATCAGTGTAAGCTGTTTCTTACCACTCTTTCCTTCCTTTTGGT